TGAATAGTTTGTTCAAATCATTTGCCCCGCTATTGATCCTAAGGATCTGTTGTTTTGAATACAGATCCTAGGGACCAATAGCGGGGCAAATGATTTAAATAAACTGTTCATAGCTGTGGTGGAATTAAATTTTTGTATGTTTATAAAATTAAATTAATTTTAAAATATAAATATGATTTTCATAATCGTTCAATTAATAGGATATATTGGTATAATACCATTAGTGTAATCAAATAACAAACCCCGGATATTTACTTCGGGTAGTTCATAATTTGCACAATTAGGTATTAAAGCATGGTAATGGTTGGGAGTCTCAGCATTAGGGGTCAAGCCAACATGTGCTATATTTAAATGTGTGCTTACATGTGTATTCTCTATTAATTCTGAAGGGGCTATTATTGTTCGAATACAGTTACTGTGAAATATATTTATTGACCGATTTATAGATATTGATGTCGCTAAAATTGAAATATCATTAGCCCAACCTCCGGAAGATGAAACAGATCTTAACTCACGTAATATATTTGATTCAAAAATATTGGCATATCTATTAAAATATTGGAGATGTTTTGACATTGAAATTAAAGTTGCAAAACGAATAATATCACAATATTTCCTATTTCCAAATAATGCCATAGATAGGGAATGATAAAAGCAAGAACCGTCATCTGGAACATTATATTCTTTAAATGTCTGTTTCATTGAATTAGGAACAACATTATAGTGTACGACTAATGGAATATCGTATCTCAAATTAGAAACAATTACTTCTGAAGCGTTTGCAGGAGATTTGCTTTTTAATAAGTCAGAGATTATGCTAAATATTTGATTATATTGTTCAAAAATATCTACCGCGAATATATTAGTAATATTGTTTAATGTATACTTAAGATCTCTCAAAATATTTATAATTTGTGGTGTTAAAATATCACATGTATCTGCTATTGGAGGTTGAACTTCAATATGTTTTGATGGCTCTGTANGCACCAAGTTCAATAAAATGATTGCCATCAGTATAAAACATAATAATTTATTTATCAAATTATTATTTATAATTTAAGATTTTAACTTAATTATTTAATAATATAATTAATAATGATTAAAAACGGAAAATTCCACTTTTAGAGCATTTAGTAATTATTAATTAATACATTAAACTAGTAAATAATGATGATGTTCTTTGATAATTCAATAACCTGGTATAAATAACTAATTAAAATAAAGATACAAAATAAACATTATTAAAAACCCAAATTTTCAGTTCCCGGTGGTATAGATTTGTGTTAACCGTCTGATTATATGGTTAAATTGTCCAGGCCTTTTATATGGTGGTGAAGATAATCGACCAGTAATTTAATACATTTAACTTACATGAGTGAGATGGCAGCATAAGCGAGAAAGCTATGCTTTGACTAAAAGTTACATCTTTAGTATACATCACAAAAAATATCCCAACTTTTAACACAGTATTCTATGCTATTGCTATGAGTGGAGTGTATGTGATTGTGACATGCGCTGTATTGTGTGTCTGTTATTGTGTTGAGATAAATAATAATCAAAATATAATTAAATAATATAAATAATGAAATTAATTTAGGCACATAGTTCCTATTTAAATAGGAACTATGTGCCAAGGCTATTAATTTTTTGTAAATTACAAATCAATTAATACTTTAATTGTTATGTTTATAACTAATTATCAATTATAATGTTTAAGAATTATATTTAAAACAAATACAATTGTAATACAAAATATGAATAAAAGACAACTAGTTTGAAAACACATTTTTAAATATAAATATTTAATACAATTTATAGTTATATATAATCTATTGCCTGCCGTTTGAATGTTATATACAAATGTTAGCGATTAATAGATTAGCTTAATATTATTTCTATGTTATAGTTAGATTGATAAAATAAAATATTATTTAAAATAAATATAAACTGATTAAATTGTTTTATTATACAATTGATTTATTAAAATCTTTAATTTATTAATTAAAAATTTACAATTGAATTATCTGTTGAAATCTTTTTATTATTTTAATATTTATTATAAATTGAGGCAAAAACAGTGATTTATGTATTGCTTGAGAGAATTAATTATAAATTTAACACAAAAATTAATAACTTTATTGATTGTCATTATAATCTGCTCGTTTGCATTCAGGGCAATAGTAAACAACATGTGTTTTACAAACAAGCTTTTCGCACCCTTCACATCGAATTGATGCCCGTTTGTCGGCACTTCGCGAACAAAAATTACATCGGGTGTTATTTTTGTGAAGTTTGATTGGCTGTTGAGAACCTGAAGGCATTTCTTCTGTCTCATCACTTGAAACATTAAATACATTTTCAATCAATTTTCGCAAATCGTGTGATAATGTACTTTGGTTTAGTCGTTGTGTTGCCAATGGTTTAACCAAATCAAATCCCAATTGTTTAATGAATTCTCGTCTCCTCTTTGATTTTTTATCGTTTGGATAATAAAACTTATAAATAATGTAACAATTAATTGCCGCGATATCTATAATATCGTAAAACAAAGCCATTGGCCATCTTCGAGTAGCTCTGGCACAAGTATACGACACACAGAGATGATCCAAATTGTCAACACCTCCTTTGGTTTGGTTGTAAAAGTTAATTATTTCTGGTTTCTCGTTCTCTTCAATATTGACAGTCTTGTGAAAACTACTTAACATTATTACAAGTTTCTTAGACTTTCGCTTCTTTGGTATATAAGACATCAGAAGTTTGTCGCCACATATTTTAGATAAATATGTATTCATCTGCATTGAATATAAAGATTAATAAATTTAATATTAATAATAAAATTGGGGACATAGTTCCTATTTAAATAGAAACTATGTGCCAAAACTATTACTTCTCGTCCTCGAGTTGTCTTCATTTCAATTGGTATTTCTTTTTTGTTCTTTTTAGTAGTCCCGACATATGTCAGGCCATTGATCCACAATTCATTGACAAGTGAGAAACTAATGAACCAATTGTCTGCCGTAATGTTACGGCCGGTGTGTTAGAGAGCATGAATTAATCTCAAAACTACATTCATTGATTGGTTGGCATTTTTGTCGGCATTTGGCTGGCGGCCTAAGTATACCTCCGCTGACCACATATAACTATTGAGAGCATCGCAAACCATNAAGTATACCTCCGCTGACCACATATAACTATTGAGAGCATCGCAAACCATAAACAATTTGATGCCATATTTGGCCGGTTTGTTAGGCATATATTGTCTAAAGCCACACTTCCCGTGAAAAGCCCTCAATTGCTCGTCAATTGTTAAATTGCTCTGATAAAACATAATTTGATTTACAATTGTCATTAAATTTTGTAAATATGTTTTTAATCGGAGCCAATTTGTCGGTCGGATCTCTTGTAAGTTTATTATCAAATCGAACACATATGCAAAGAAATCTAAATCTGCATAATGTCATTACAGCCCGGAAAATGTTCCGTCCACTACCAGATGTTGACCACAACTCAATGGCGTTCTCATTACCCGATTTATACACACCGGCCAACAAAAGTAAACCAATAAATGCTTGCATTTCTTCTGCGTTGGTTTCGTAAATAAATGTTTGTGATGTGTTATACCTCTCTCTCCATATGAATATTTCACTGTTAGTGTAATTAACAATTGTTTGTATCATTTCAATTGTAATAAAACTGTTGAACAAAGAGTAGTTATTATCGGCGCGTTCTTTACTTATTTTTGGTCCACATTTTTCTCTCAAAATGTTTTGCGGTTTGGTTTTACTCGATGTGATAATTGATGTTTGAGATGACATTATATCAGATGTTTGAAAGTCATTGTCATTATCATCGCATAGCTCTTCAGCGCTTTGCTCAGTGTCTGATGAATGTGACGACTCTTGTATTTCATCGATCTCTTCACCGCTTGTATTATCATCAGCGCTATATCAGATGTTTGAAAATCATTGTCATTATCATCGCATAGCTCTTCAGCGCTTTGCTCAGTGTCTGATGAATGTGACGACTCTTGTATTTCATCGATCTCTTCACCGCTTGTATTATCATCAGCGCTGTCGACATTCAGCATGTCTTCGAGTTGTTGTCGACTTAACACAGTTTTGCGGCTCATTTTAAATCACAATTAAAAGGACACTGTTATTAGATTGTTGTTTACATGTGCTCTCACTTTAATTGATAGAAATGTCTATACAAATGTAAATGACGTTTAGATATAACCCCATATTTCTATTTAAATAGAAATATGGGGTCAAAGATAAATACTACATAATTTATGTTCAGGTAAATCAATACAAACAGCAAAAATCAAAATACAGCGCATGTCACATACACATACACTCATCAAACACATACACTTTACTCATAGCACTAAGCAATAGCATAGAATACTGTATTAAAAGTTGGGATATTTTTTGTGATGCATACAATTGATGTAAGTATCGATGCGCGCGCTATCTATGTATTGAATCTCGCAACAGCTGAAATGTGTTGTCCACAAGTCCATACAGGGAAGTTGTGAAATAGTGTGAGAAATGGGTAACTGATATGTGGCGGCGCTAGTGTTTTGGTTAAAATGTACTGAAATGTTATAAGTTTAAAAAGTTAAACGTTTGATATCGTGGGCGTTTTTGAAAAGTGACCTCTCTTTGAATATTCACTGCTCGGACACCAGATATGCAAATGAAGTTTTGATTAATCCAAAACCTACTCAAATGTTTTGTTGAGGAATAGCTGGAATTTTTTAACACTGACTTTAATACCTGATTTTAGCCATAAGTTTTAAACTCACTGGGATCGATATATCCCATGGATACAATGCTTTGGTTAATATAAAATTGTTGGATTCGTAATCAATATCAATATTTTACAGTATCAAAATGTGGTTATTATTAAACACTGTATTTGTAAGCCTGCTATATAAATCACTGGCAACACATTCAACACTATTGCCGCCAAATGTGATTGTGATAATAGCGGACGATATGGGTTGGGCTGATGTGGGCTATCACTCGGACCATATCCTGAGCCCCAATATTGACACTCTGGCCGCCGATGGGGTTGTATTGAACCAATTTTACACACATTCAGTGGGCGTTCAAAGTAGGACAGCGTTGTTCACAGCCGTTCATCCCATACACACCGGATATCATGGGCCAGAATTGGCTCAGTGTTCGCCCACTGGTCTCCCACTACACCATAAACTGTGGCCGCAATACATGAAGCAATACGATTACTCCACACATATTGTCGGTAATAGTTTAATTGCTCAATTCATGTCGATCATTTATATTTAATGGCTAAACTATGTCTAATTGCGCTAGAGTTTTGAGTTTATTGCACATGGGGTATGGTTTATTTTTGCTAATAAATAAACAAGGCTAAGGTTAAATCTATGACAAAAATTGTAGCCTCATATGAATTATTACGCGTTCAGGTAAATGGCAGTTGGGTTTTGCGCGCAAGGACTACACGCCTACCCACCGGGGCTTTGATTCGCACGTGGGCTTTTGGTCGTATTTTAAACACTACTATCAGCACACGGGCTGCGAATCACCAAGGGCGTTTAACACGAGCCATCCTATTTGCGGCCATGATTTCCGGCACAATATGACCTCAACAACAGAAGGCACCGGTGTTTACGCCACACACTTATATCGAGATCGATGTTTGTGTATAATAGGTTTGTATAAACCTTTCAACTATTGATTCTGGTGTAATTAACAATGTGTATACTGTATATGATGTGTAGTTATTTTAAATTATTGCTATGTTCTATAATTTTTAAGTTTAACTGTTTTTAAATTAAGGTGTTATTAATTAATAAATATAAATTTCTATCAAACCACCAGATAACCATGATCAATCGCGTCCACTATTCCTTGTGCTGTCACATCAGGCCCTGCATGCCTACAATCTAATACAACCCGATCCCGGATATATTCCATATATGGATAGGTTTGCATACATTGCTAACAAACGGAGACAGACATTGGCCGCAATGGCGTACGCGTTGGACGAGTCAATCGGCGCTGTTGTCCAGCGCTTACAAACTCGACAAATGCTTAACAATAGTATTGTTGTGTTCGTCAGCGATGGGGGACCTAATATATGTAAGTGTGTCATAGCATTGCAGTTGAGTGAGAGTGAGAGAGTGAGTGAGAGAGAATTAAATGTATTTAATTTGTAGTTAATGGTGGATCAACTTTTCCACTCCGGTCTGCCAAGTTTAGTACACTCGAAGGAGGTAAAATCAATATCACAATTTTGTCTTAATAAATTACTCGTGGTGCATACAGTATTACGATTGGTTAATTAAATTTTTTTATTGTAATAACAATGATAATTGTAATGAATTATTACTAATAATGATCACATGTTTAAGCGCTAAGAGTGCCGGCATTTATTTGGAGTCCATTACTGGCCAAAAGTGGTTACATTTCCGACGCTCTCTTCGATGTGGCGGATGTGTTGCCAACCGTTTTGGAAGCTGTGATCGATAGCCATCACAATCT